AAAATGTAAATATATTTTTTATTCATCCAAAAACGAGCTGAAGCCCAATTTTACAAAATATTAAAATGGAGACAAAAAGTCGATTTTAGTTCATTTTTAAAAAATCATAAAAAATCAATTAGTTAAGTTATTATAAATATACAGGAGTCAAGTAAAAGGTAATTTAAAGCACAACAATGTGAAATCATCAGGTAAAGGTGAAAACAACAAAATAATTTACATAAATTATTTCAGCAAGGCATGTACACAAAAATTGAGAATTTCAAACATTTTTGAAAATTCATAAAAAATTAACGAAGCAAGATATCTTTACGAATGTTACACAATATTGTAGAACATGTTAATCTTTTCAATAATAAAGTAACAGACTTAGGTTTAGGAAACAAAATTCTTCTCCACATATATTTTAAAAATGGGCATTTTTGCACTGAAAATTTATACTTTCCAGCACCTTAAAAAATGTTCGTAATTAGATATACCTGGTATATATATCTATAAAAGTTATGGAAAATCTGTAGGAAACATTATTAACTATGAATTAGTAATGAAAATCAATTTTCTGCCTTTATTAGCAGGTCTGTATGGATTTATTAGTCAGTTTAGAGACATTTCCCTGCACTGGTTTAATGAGACATTTCAAAAAACAAACAAACTACTTGTTGCTTCATTATGAAGCAACAAGTAGTTTGTTTGTTTTTTGTTTTTGTTTTTTTTTAATCGCATCAAAATTTGACACTGGCATCACAAAATAACTGTGACAGTGGCACCACAAAATAACTGTGACAGTGGCACCACAAAATAACTGTGACAGTGGCACCACAAAATAACTGTGACAGTGGCACCACAAAATAACTGTGACAGTGGCACCACAAAATAACTGTGACAGTGGTACCACAAAATAACTGTGACAGTGGCACCACAAAATAAACGTGACAGTGGCATCACAAAATGAACTGTGACAGTGGCACCACAAAATAACTGTGATAGTGGCACCACAAAATAAACGTGACAGTGGCACCACAAAATAAACGTGACAGTGGCATCACAAAATGAACTGTGACATTGGCACCACACAATAACTGTGATAGTGGCACCACAAAATAAACGTGACAGTAGCACCACAAAATAAACGTGACAGTGGCATCACAAAATGAACTGTGACAGTGGCATCACAAGATTGACGGTGACAGTGGCATCACAAAACAACTCTATTAAGAGGACAAACAAAGAACGGTAACCCACGATTTACCCGCCGGCTGTCGTGTTAATGACCCGTTAATTAGTTCGCCTTGCGATAGCCTGCTCTTGCTGTCCACCACTCTAACCACGATAATGGACTGCGTTGGTGGTGACAGTTTCATGATCTATTTTACTGGTGTGAAAATAGTATTGATCCTTGGTAGTTTATTCTTTTCAATTTCCCTCCCAGGGAAAAAAAACCCAACAATTTAAGATATATATATTTTTTTTAAATGTACAAAATTTCCTCATCAACACCAGGCACAGAAACATTGCAAATCCCCTCTACATGCATAGGAGCCAAAATGATCAATAAATTGATCGTGGGCCCTTAAGATATAGAGGAAGAAATATAAATAAAATTAGTTACTACTTGCCCCGCTTCCTCCCTTGAGATTCTTTTCTGCACCCTCTCCATGTACATTCTATCCCCTTTTCACTTTTAATTTGAAATGTTTCATGCTGATCAATATGTTGGTGGGGAGAAAAAGAGAGGAGAAGTGTCGCTTAGAAGCTGTGTGAACTGTGAACGTTTCGTGTGCAGAACTTGAATTAATACTCTCAAAACTGGGTTATCTCATTCAGAATTAAAGCAGACAGGAACTTGACAATATCAGCTCATTACCTCAGTCTGCCATCTACCTACTAGCCCTGCTGACAGCTACCTACCACTCCTAGGAGTGCTTGACAGCTACCTACTACTCCTAGGAGTGCTTGACAGCTACCTACTAAGCACGGTTGACAGCTACCATACTAGCGATTGTTGACTGCTAAATACTATCCCTGCTCGACAGCTACCCACTAGCCTCGCTTGGCAACTTACATACTAGCCATGCTTGACAGCTACCGACAAGCCGTGCAGGACAACTGGCCACCAGCCGTGCTTGACCAGAATGACAGCTACCCACAAGACAAGATCGACAGCTACCCACTAGCCATAGCCAGCTAGCCACGTATCTACACGTAGACCTACTTTAATTTTTTTATTTTTTTAAATGTAAATTCTGACTCCTACAAAGAAGTATTCAGTTATAATTACTGAAGAGAAAACCTACGCACCCCCCCCCCATTCATTCATACTGCCCCTACATCCCACTGGGGCAGTGGTTCTCAAACTTGTGGGTCACGATCCCTCGGGGGGGGGGGGGGGGGGGGGGGGGGGGGGGGGGGGGGGGGGGGGCC